TGTCTGCAGACCAGCCGCTCTTTATCCTCCCTATAACTCTCTCTCTCTCTCTCTCTCTCTCTCTCTCTCTCTCTCTCTCTCTCTCCCTCCCTCCCTCCCTCCCTCCATACACACACTTTCTTCACACGTTCTTCACACAGACGTCTTTCTCTCGATCCACAGGAGTTCTTTTCTTTCCAAACCTTTGAGTGGTTTTAATCCATCTCTCTGTATCTCTCTCTGTTCTCTTCTCTCCTCTCTTTCATCTCCTCCTCTCTGGCTCTCTCCTCTCCTTTTCTGTCCTCCTTTCTCTCTCTCGCTCTCTCTCTTTCTATACCTTTTTTCATTTGCCTCTCTTTTCACTCTTCTTCTCTCTCTCACTCTTTTTCTTTTTCTGCAGTCTCGTCCTTTTTTCTCCTTTTTTTCCTCTTGTCTCTCTCACTCTCCTTCGTTTTTCTCTTTTTCTGTCTCCTTTGTCTTCTTGTCTTCTCTTTCTCTTTTTTTTCTCGTCTTCAGTCTTTCTCGTCAAATTCATTCTCTCTTTGCCTCGTCCTCCTTTTTCTTCACCCCCACCCCCACGTACCCATCCATGGTAACCAAATCCACTCAGACTGCAGTGCCATGTAGGGACAGTTTATTAGTTATTAGCTGTTAGTTATTAGTTATTTATTTTTTTTTCTTGTGTGGTTCTCTTTAGTATGTTACCTTTGTGAACTGGTCCTGGGCCAGGCTGTAAGATATAGGGTCGGTCTCTCTCTCTCGAAGATAGCTGAATTAATGAATCAGACATAAGGCCGGGCCGATAAAGTCGATAATATCGGCCGATATTAAGCACTCGCAGCATTATATGTATCTGCTGATAATACAGCGGAAAATCAATAGTTAGTGCCATTTTTTGATGCGCCACACGTGGGATTAGAGCTCATCATCTCCTGATATTAAGGCATAACGTTTTGGAAAATGTGTTTAATGATAAATGTGAGATAAAGTAGCTCAAAATACTCAGTGTTTGTGGTTCTGGTCGGGACGGTGGCCTTAGGTAACCTGTAGTACGAAGTTGTGTGCTCTTGCTTTGACACTGCAGCTTGAGCCTTTGTGTTAAATCTGCTTAGCTCAGACAAATCTGTGAAGTGTGTGTGTGTGTGTGTGTGTGTGTGTGTGTGTGTGTGTGTTCTGATGTTCCTTTAGACACCTGTGTGTATTTATAGCTTTGTGCTTTTACAGAGAGATTTGCTGACGTCTGCTCTTTTCTTGTCCTTTCCAACCTCAAACTCTAATCTGCTGCTGCAGGATGTTAACATTAAAGTGCAGAATAATCTCTCTTTATGCGATGCGAGGGTGTGTGTTGCATTGCTGCATGTGTGTAGGAAAAGGCAGCATGGCTAAAAAATGTTTTTCTTTTTTTTTTTTCCATTTTTAAGCCTTTTGATGATGATAAACAATATACACCACATCTGGATGGAAACAGTCATTTTTCAGGTGGAAGAATCATTAATTGGACTAAACAGCTTTTCTTTTTAATGCAATACAGCGTGAACCGCCAGGTTTAACAGTTTCTGCCCTCAAGCTGTTAAACTGGTCACACCTACAGCACCCATGACACCAATAACACAGCTAGCAAGTTAAGGTACATTGCAAATAACAACAAATGTTTTCCAACAAATTTGAAGCATTTTGTTTATTTGGTTCAAGCTGTTCTTTAGCCGTGGCACATAATAGTGCTGATTGAATACTGGCGGGCGTCTCACTATCTCAGTGTATATAGCAATAGAATCGCAGTATGTTATTTCTAGGGATGCTCAATGATATCGGAATCATATCTGAATCAGATTCATCATTCAGTGGACGCATTCTTAGATTTGTCCAATGCTTTAAACCGTTATTTGATTATGCACTTTGTTATTTAGTCCCAGTGGAATATATTGGCATTGACAGAATCAGTATCAACCCACAAAACATATCGGTGCATCTAGTAATCTCTCCATATCGTGCAGCCCTAAATCCATAAACACGTGCTCTCAGAGATCAGTGAGCCTAAAATGAGCCCACGTTTTTGTGTGTAAATGAGTCTGAGCTGCAGGAAGGAAGTGGGCCGGTGGCGTGCCCCTCTCTGTGTAGTAAAAACAGAGTAGGAGGAGGAAAGGGGAAGAGAGATCAGCTTTAGTGGAACAGGCAGGAGGAGAGAGGGCAGCTTTCAGACTGAACTTTAACCACACAGAGCTGAGGAAATGATTTATACTACACTACAGGACTGAGTTTCTGCAGGGGTTGTTGAATTTTCCAGTATTTTCAGAGTTTGAGTTGATGACTATACCTGTTTATTAATAGACAGTGAGGAGATAAGTGATAGATAAAGGGCTTATAATAAAGTTTATAGTGTAAAAAAAAAAAATACAGAAACACAGTTCCTGTATAAAATGTACAAAATGTTTAATCACGTAAAGGTTTAATACTTTATCAGTCGGTACTTGACTGGGAATTTCTTTTGGTGCTGCTCAGACACACAAACAATATACACTCATACACAAAACATACAGTCTCAATAATAATAACAAGCATCGACGTAAAATAAACAAGGTTAAGATTGTGGAGTGGAGTTCAAAGGTCTGATAGCGGAAACGGAGATGTTCTACATAAGATGCTTTGAAATCTTTTGCCGGAAGGGAGCTCTTTAAAAAGGTTCTGTGTGGGGTGTGAACTGTCTGCATACACTTTTACTGCTTTTTTCCATCCTTTTGGTGTGTAGAGAAGCAGCGGATGGAAGTTCACAACCCATGATTTAGGAGGCAGCGCACACCACTTTCTCCAGCTGCTCTCTCTCATAGAGATGCACCGATACCACTTTTTCCCTTCCGATACCGATACCTGATCCTAACTCACCTATAAGTCCTGATATTTATGCAATTACATTTAAATATATTTTATTTTGGTAAAATATGTCACATATAGAACGCACTCAGCTTGGCTAGAAGGCGTTTACTTGTTGGATTATAATTTTTAGATGCTAAAGAAAACTTATTTTGTTGATTTACTGTATATATTTAGTATTTCCTATCTTTTTTCTAGCATATTTATACGTTTATTATGCAAAACAGTGAAAAACAGAGCTGAGCAGTGTACAGATAAACCTGTGGTGTTTACACATCGGCACACAGCAGCTTCTCTGGCTCAAAAACGGAGTTGAATTTTGTTTCAGATCCAAATTTCTTAAGTCTTTTTTCTCATACATGCAACTTGTTCACTCCTGTTGCTTCTCTGAGCGTCAGTTCAGTAAATATCAGTGTTTTTTGTGACTTGGTTGAAGCGGCGGGCCACGAGACCCCGCTGCTAAGTGGTGCTGCTGACCGACGGAGGCGCACCGCAGACGGGGCTAGTGGACGCACAGGCCCGACTAGTGGGCTGCTATGCTAAAGGCTAAATGCTATCACTACGCCACCGGTTCCTTCCGCTCTTTTAATAACGATAACTCGGACTGTAAGTGAACATAAAGTGGCAGACGAGTGACAGGTAAGCGGCTCTGTTAGCATTTTGAGCATTTTTACTGCATTTTGCCTTGAGCAAGTTCTGTCCTCTGGCGCGCATGTACGCATCAGAAATTGATCTGTGGTATCGGTCATATGTATCGGTATCCCAATCACCGATACTGATATTCGTTTAAATGCCGGTGTTGGTGCAACGCTACTCTCTCATATGCTGCTGTACCACCACAAACACACATGGAGGAGGTCCACACACTTTCCGCAGTCACTCTATAAGAGCAGGTCATACATGCTGTAAGTGTTTGATGTAAGTGGGTGGGCAAAAATATAACATCATGATACATCAGGACATTTTCTCGATGCATGTGTTGGAAAGCTGGGAACAGACAAAAATACAAAACGTTTTAAAAGCTATGAATCCATAGATTTTCAACATTTACTTAAAGTAGAGCTACTGCACTACTTTTATTTACAACACTCGCTGCACTACTTTTATTTACGACACACTGCACTACTTTTATTTACGACACTCGCTGCACTACTTTTATTTACGACACTCACTGCACTATTATTTACGACACTCACTGCACTACTTTTATTTACGACACTCACTGCACTATTATTTACAACACTCGCTGCACTACTTTTATTTACGACACTCGCTGCGCTACTTTTATTTACGACACACTGCACTACTTTTATTTACGACACTCGCTGCACTACTTTTATTTACGACACTCACTGCACTATTATTTACAACACTCGCTGCACTACTTTTATTTACGACACTCGCTGCGCTACTTTTATTTACGACACACTGCACTACTTTTATTTACGACACTCGCTGCACTACTTTTATTTACGACACTCACTGCACTATTATTTACGACACTCACTGCACTACTTTTATTTACGACACTCACTGCACTACTTTTATTTACGACACTCGCTGCACTACTTTTATTTACGACACACTGCACTACTTTTATTTACGACACACTGCACTACTTTTATTTACGACACTCGCTGCACTACTTTTATTTACGACACTCACTGCACTATTATTTACGACACTCACTGCACTACTTTTATTTACGACACTCACTGCACTACTTTTATTTACAACACTCACTGCGCTACTTTTATTTACGACACTCACTGCGCTACTTTTATTTACGACACTCGCTGCGCTACTTTTATTTACAACACTCACTGCACTACTTTTATTTAAAAAGGATTAAATATGCTGTCTTTGAAATAAACCTGCATTATATCCTTGTTCTTTAAGTGCTGACACTGATATTCACATTTTAGCCATAAAAAAACACGCTGTTGTGATCCAGTTTGTCATGATAGTGATGAGTATCGTCATTTTGCCCACCCCTGGTTGAGCTTCCAGGCAGTATAAACATTTGGAAACGCGTCTAAGTTACTGCAAATGATCAGGCACCCGAGAACCTCTGAGACTGGAGAAGATATCTGATGGGTTTGGCATCCGTCTGTTGTTGTTGTTTTTTACATGTTGGATGGCAAACAGTCATAATTAGCGAAAGCGATAACGCGACAGAATTTAGAGCCGAACTTGAAAATTTGTTGGGTCGCTTAGCAACAAGTGCCACCCTGAGCTGGAGAGAAAAACAGTGTGAAATGTAGTGGATGAGTTTGGGAAGAACTTCAGTTGGTTTAGAGACTTAAAGGAGACCAAATAAACAAACCTGCTTTTTCTTTGCCAATTAGCATATGTGTGAGGTCTGCTTGTCACTGTGTATTTCATTCCAGGACTTGTGGATCGTGAAGTCTCTGCATTTTTGGCATATTTTCCTTTCAAAAAACAGGGCTGTGATTCAACAGGCTGTTCAGATTTTCTTCTCTCTCTCTTTTTTTTTTTTTAACATGCCCACCACTTTCCCCGCTAATCAGAGGACTATTAAATCTTTATTTTTATTTGTAATTTATTCATAAAGGAGGACAAGTAAGCATAAACAGATACACCAAGAAGATAAAGAAAAAATATAATGCATATAAAATGAAAATAACATAGTAATGGGAATCCAACCCCAGAATAACCACACCCACCAACCCCTCCACTAGCATAACCACACCCACCAACCCCTCCACTAGGATAACCACACCCACCAACCCCTCCACTAGCATAACCACACCCACTAAACCCTCCACTAGGATAACCACACCCACTAAACCCTCCACTAGAATAATCAACCCCTCCACTAGAATAACCACACCCACCAACCCCTCCACTAGGATAACCACACCCACCAACCCCTCCACTAGGATAACCACACCCACCAACCCCTCCACTAGCATAACCACACCCACCAACCCCTCCACTAGGATAACCACACCCACTAAACCCTCCACTAGGATAACCACACCCACTAAACCCTCCACTAGAATAATCAACCCCTCCACTAGGATAACCACACCCACCAACCCCTCCACTAGAATAACCAACCCCTCCACTAGAATAGCCACACCCACTAACCCCTCCACTAGAATAACCAACCCCTCCACTAGAATAATCACACCCACTTAACCCTCCACTAGGATAACCACACCCACCAACCCCTCCACTAGAATAACCACACCCACCAACCCCTCCACTAGAATAACCACACCCACTAACCCCTCCACTAGAATAACCAACCCCTCCACTAGAATAACCAACCCCTCCACTAGAATAACCACACCCACTTAACCCTCCACTAGGATAACCACACCCACTTAACCCTCCACTAGGATAACCACACCCACCAACCCCTCCACTAGAATAACCACACCCACCAACCCCTCCACTAGAATAACCACACCCACCAACCCCTCCACTAGAATAACCACACCCCCTAACCCCTCCACTAGAATAACCACACCCACCAACCCCTCCACTAGAATAACCACACCCACCAATCCCTCCACTAGGATAACCACACCCACTAAACCCTCCACTAGGATAACCACACCCACCAACCCCTCCACTAGAATAACCACACCCACCAACCCCTCCACTAGAATAACCACACCCACTAACCCCTCCACTAGAATAACCACACCCACTAACCCCTCCACTAGAATAACCACACCCACTTAACCCTCCACTAGGATAACCACACCCACCAACCCCTCCACTAGAATAACCACACCCACTAAACCCCTCCACTAGAATAACCACACCCACCAATCCCTCCACTAGGATAACCACACCCACCAACCCCTCCACTAGAATAACCACACCCACCAACCCCTCCACTAGAATAACCACACCCACCACTCTTAAACAAGAATAACCACACGCTGAGTTTTCTGACCTTAATTAGACCAGTGATGTGAAACTGCTGTGTAGAAGAAGCCTATTGTAAACACAGGTTGCTTAGACGTCTCTGACGGGTCTGTGTCAGACTGTTAGCGCTGCATTCCTGTGTGTTGGCTAAGTCAGCAGGATAGCATCGTCAATAAACCAGCCTACACTCATGAAAGAAGAGAAATGATGACTGTGTAGATGTTGTTGCACAGATCACTAATGAACATGCTGCTGTCGGTAGTTGATCGGTACTGGTTGCTTGTGAACTTTGGTGATCAAATAATGCAGTTTCATTTTCTGCCACAGTTGATAGAATGTCAGTTCACCACAATGTACAGTTGTTTTTGTTCTTACAATTGATTATAATAACAATAATAATAATGTTTAATTAATTGAGCTTTTCCCCCCCCCCAAAAAATACAGTTCTCAGGCTTTGTACCAACATCAAAATCAATTCTGTCTGTTTTCCACTACTGTGTAAACGTCTCATCCCGTCACGTTTGTGTATTCAGTGTATTTTTAAACTGACTCACTGACTCATACCGAAATAATCGTTTTGAATCAGACCTTGGTGAATATGTGAGATTTTATCATGCGCTGAATCATTTCCTAATCAGTTTACACCCCTATTTGAGCGTACGCAGAACCTGGAAATGATCTAAGTGATCACATCAGTACACAACAGGGCAGAGAGAGAGAGAGAGAGAGAGAGAGAGAGAGAGGAATGAATACAGTGATCTGTTCACACAGAGCAGACACATCCTCTATCCTGCCATCAGCAGGTGTTTACTACAAGCCGTCTCGCTCTTTCTTCTCACTGTTTTTCTCTTGCTTTTCTTTTACATTTTTCCTCTCTCTCTCTCTCTCTCTCGCACTGAGTGAACTCAGAGCAGCTGTCGGTCTGTCCTCTTCTCTGAGGATCTGGGTTTCTCTGTTCTCCTCTGAGAGCGGTTCTTTCCTCCTTGTGTACATCCAGCAGCGGGTCAGAGTGCAGGAGAGACACCGTCAGTCACAGCGACGTCCCTAACCGACGTCTTACGTTAACATCTCTGTTACAGTCATATCCTCACTGTAACCGGGGCTGTAAAAGTGCATCATGATGTATCAGTCTGAAAAGTGGTGATTCAACTGCTTAATTAAAAATTAATCAGTTTTAATATTAAAATATGTGTCTATGTTGTGATAAACACACTGAAATACTTCTTTTGCACTACTTCTAGCGATATTTGATAGATTTATAAGACTATTTGATGTGTTTGTGTCGACTGTGTACTCGTGTGAGGAGTAAGAGTGCATGAATTAGTGTCATTTTTAACTTCAGACATTTAAAAGGTGCAAGATGGCAATTTAGTCGCATTCATTTTGGAATATTAGTCGATTAATGTAGTAATGTTTAGTGAAGAATTCTCAGTTTTAGGCCAGAAAACTCTTTGGCCTTTTTGTACATATAGGTTCCTAATTGAATTGAATCACTGTGAGGTCAGATTTGCAGCCCTGATCTTAACTCTCTCTTCTCTCTTTTTTTTCTCTCCAGGTCGTTGACTGTCAGAACTCAGTACTCCAGAATGGACAGCGTGTGCGTCCCAGCTATGCCCACATCCTGTGTTTAGAGGAAGTTGTGTAATCAGCATGTCCTCTCACCCGCAGTCGGTGCCACAGAGCCGCAGGGCTGTGGACGCTCGCCACCTGCCAAACCCCGCCGGCCTCCCCATGCAGCTGGCCCGCGCGCACACGGTACACACATCACACAGAAACATGAGCTTTCAAAGCCGTTTGTTTGTATGACGTACCGGCTTCATATAAGAGCTTTTGGGCTTCTCTGAAATGTCGGCCATTTTCCGAAGTGGAGAACAACACTCATTATAACCTTCACTCGCTGAATACGACTTGACCACTTGACAGATAAGTCAGGGGTCAGCAAACCAAACAATAAGAAGAGCCATCGCTTTTCCCGCATCTCCGGCAGGAAACTTTCCCTCAATAGTAGAAGAGTTTCTTGTAAAATGTCTCTCAACGGTTGACTTTTTACGAGGCTGAAGTCGCTTCTCATTCGCCAGCTTCTTGTTCGAAGTTTCCTGTTCCACCTGAAATGGTGCCTGAGGTGCCAGAATGTACCTGCTGCACAATTTAAGGTGGAACAGGAGCATTTGTGAATAAGAAACTGACTTCAGGCTCATGACTCATGACGTTGCAGATTAAACGGAGTGATTATAAATGCAAATAAATTTGTTCGTCCAAGTAAGTCTGTTTAAGGATACTTAACAGCTCCTCACAGTTTGAGGCAAGTGTAGTGATTTAAGTGTGCAGCACTGATTAGGGATGAGTTCAGCTAATCAGGCAATAAGCTAATTTATTTTGAGTAATCCGTGTTGTAATTTTACAGGAAGATAATGTAAAGCGAGGTCAGTGCACTTGAGCTATAATTAGATGCTGCTGCTACACTGTACCAAAATGTCGAAGCATATTTGTCAAGTTCAAAAGCATGCTTGGTGAATCCCCACTGCTAATTTTTACTTGTTAGCTTCTAGAGATGTGTTTGATTAACTTCTTACTAACAAATACATACATTTTCGACCAGTGCTCAGTTAAAACGTTCAATTTCACATAAACAATTGTTATTTAAAAAGGTGACCCAAGGGCTAAAAAGGTGTCCCCAAGAGCTAACGGTCAGTCTGAGTAGTTAGTCCCATAACAAAATAGCCTCAGAGCTGTGAGCTGCCAACTTTTTGTTGAGTATTATTTAAATTATGGTTATGATCTTCAAGCTAGCCCAGCGCAGGCCATGACGAAAACGTGGTAAATGTAAGTGAGTAAACTACGTGATGTTAATGTTATATCTGTCATGTTAGCTCACGTTTTTTCATTCAGTTAATCCTAAAGCCTTGTTTATATGCAATGCAGTGCTGTGTTTGATGATTTCATGGGTTGTGTCTGATTTTTGTTTGTCAGTTAATGATTATTTATGGACTAATAACGTTCATAAGCCTATTAGCTACATTAGCCGTGTAGTTGCAGTGCAAAACTAAATAAGCAAGCTTCATGCTAAATGTCTTGACTGATCGACCGAGGAATGGGGAAACAGGCCTGTATTCACAGTGAACGATCTGGCTGTAGGAGGGCAGCTTGGGTTACAGGCTAATCGGGTGATCTTATGATGTAAGATACTAAACGCTAACCCGGCTAATGGATTAATCTATGGCCTTTCCATTTCTAGTGCAGTGACACATGCAGTTCTGTTTATATAGCCCTGCAGTGTTTTATGTGTAGTTTTATTGCTCTTTTTTACTGTAAGACTTATTTCTTTATGAGAGGAAGCGTTCACAGTTTGTCAGACTGCCAGCCAGCAGCGATTGGACACTGCCGTTTTTGTTTTCGCGGCGGTAGCCTGGTCAGGAGGTTGATTCAGGGACATGAGCAGCTTTGTTTTTTTTCATTGCCCTGTTCCAGTCAGTGCCCTGTGCTGGTACAGGACAGACAGATGGGTGACTGTAGCAGAATAGATACAGGCCTGTTTCATTTGGCCTGTGTGTGCTCCTACTGTACGCTAGCTGATGTCGGTACCAGCAGGGCCACATTGGAGCAGGTGCACTCATTGCGCTCACTGTTTGGCACAGCGTGAGCGAATGTAAGCCTGTATTACATCGTCTGTGTGTGGTCTTGTGTGCCTAACAGGATGTTGGCATGGTGGACTTCCACCCGCGGGACTACACTTCCCACCTGGCCCATGGAGCCCTGGCCCAGCCCCACCGCCGCAGACCGTCGTTGCTATCAGAGTTCCAGCCCGGGAGCGAGAGGTAGGGTTCACACACATACACGGTCGGTTCTACAGGCAACTGTGTCCCTCTCTGGACTGGAGTCCTATTTTTTTAATACGCTCATATCCTACATTTTTCCTGTATTTTATTTTGCCCTTGAGGACCACTTATAATATTGCTGTGGTTGTATGCATCAAAATAAGTCATCATTCATTTTCCCATGGCCATTTTTTTCAAACCCTTCTTTATCCCTTAGAATTGACTGTTTCTGTCACTCTGCCTTCAACACTGATATACTGTTGTTTTGTACAAGTATTAACACCAACGGTTAAATCACACGCACAGTAATTGTGCATTAAAATATGCAGGAATGTGTTCGCTGTAGAAGATGCATTAACTTAGAAAATCTACAAAACGTTTATTTTGATTAAGGGTGCCCAAATTTTTTTATACAACTCAGTGTAAATGAGCTCGGTCCTGATCAGCTGTGCTGTAACAGGCCTCGTTTTAAAAGCAGTCTAGTCTGAAACACTCATTATAACTTCAGTGTGTTTGAGGTGAGCTACGCTTCTGTAGGCTGGAATTGACAGATGTTTTTTTTTGTGACCTCTCAAAAACAGTGAATTCAAAACAGGCTGATTTTGTGTTTTACGACTGGATGATGAAACATTTGAAACTTTAACAGTGTGTACATACTATAATAAACTCTTTATTTCAAAACATGAGGCATTCCATGGTAGTTTTCCATGATAATGGCAGGTTATGGCAGAGGGTTTTAGACAGCAGTATGCCGCAAGAGGCTGCGGTAAAGTGATTTTACTGCCGTTAGGCCTTGATGTGCAACGTGAAAAAAGACAGTAGGATGAAATACACCAGGGTTCATAACATAATAGGATTTTTAGTAGTAGGCGGAATAACCATTTCTACCATGATGTAGTTTTTAGATGAGTGTTTTGTTTCTGTGCTTTTAAATACTGGCGTATCACAAAGGTAGGATCATATCTTGATGGGACCTGTAGTGATTCCCAGCCCAGCTTATTCCCAGTCCAGTTTGCCTCAGTTTTTGATGGACCGATCAGTGTTTTTGGGGCTGATACCAACTGATATGAGCTTTTAAGCACAATTGGCCGATCGAGGGCGGGGCTGGATGACAATTTAAAGGTGCAGAAGCGATTTTCAGCAGCAAAACTCCCTCAAAACTCCAGCAGCACTGCTGTGTCTGATCCACTCAGACCAGCGCAACACACACTAACACACCACCACCGCGTCAGTGTTACTGCAGTGCTGAGAATGATCCACCACCCAAATAGTACCTGCTCAGTGAGGGTCCGTGGGGGTCCTGACCACTGAAGAACAGGGTAAAAGGGGGCTAACAAAGTATCAGAGAAACAGATGGACTACAGTCTGTAACTGTAGAACTACAAAGTGCACCTATATAGTAGGAGCTGATAAAATGGACAATGAGCGTAGAAACAAGGAGGTGGTCATAATGTCATGCCTGATCGTGTGTATATGTTTTCAAGATGCTGTGTTGTTGTTGGTTCTTCTGAAGCTTACATGGCCACTCTTTGATAAACTCACCCCACTATATTACTGTGTTACTGCAGAGAGCAGACATTTCTCAGAATCTGCCGAGAAGTTTTCACGCTTGCTTTCAAGATTGATGAGACGTAATAAACACAAGGTTCCTCTTATGATTTCCTAGCATTTCGAGGTTAAAAGAAAATGAAATGAAATCCACCGCAGCATGAAAGACTCTCTATAAGAGCCTCTCACGCATTTGAATGGATGAACACTTTACAAAAGCCACAGTTCATGCAGGAGCAGCGGTTTTTCATCAGTGATAAGAGAGGAGAAACTGGCTCTACAGAACAGCCGTAAATCCATCATTCATTTCCTTTAAGAATAGCTGTTTGTCTAATGCTCTTGAGGCGACCCTGGCTGGGCAAAACACGGCACGATAAAATCAATCCCGCTGAAGGCGTTCTCCTCAGAAACTCAGTATAAAGACTTTCAGATCGTTTTTGTCTGAGTGGATGTGATATGCCTTTCCTTCTTCTGTGTGCAGTAGCTCTCCCGGGCCTCGCTGCTGCAGATTCACTTCCCCATCTCATATTTGGAGTGACACGTAGTTTCAAAGCATTTCACGTATTGCATAAGTGTTACGTAATAGCTGCTTAGCGTGCACTGGCACAGTGCTTCCCTCCGGCTAATGCAGGCAGACAGGGCAGCACACTGAGACACAGTGCACTTATATAGGGCAGGATTTCTAAGCTCAATACAGGAAGCACACCACTGAGATCTTTCACGTTCAGTGAGTGATCAGTTTAACGGTTGCGATAGGCCGATCCATGTTCTGCCCACAAATGTGCCCTTTCTTTGCTGCAGTTGCCAACTTAGACAGGCTTTACAGAACGTTGATACTAAAGCCTGCTTTAAGTGTAGCATATAACCTGGCTTTTGCTTGTAAATTTATGTACATTTTAGAGAAATAAACATATAAATACAAGTCAAAGATATTGTGAACATATGCAAGCTTTATAGGCAAGCTGCCTTCTTCAACAAGCAGCTCAGGAGACCGCTAACTGGCCAACAGGCAAATTCAGTGATATTCACAGATAGTCAGATGTTTGCTGAAGTTTAACTGCAAAGCGGCAGCATGCAAACTGAAAAATATGCTTGTTTCCCAGAGTGTAGCTTACCAGCTGAGGACTTAAGTGTCCTGGTGTCTCAGATGAGTTGTAAAATAAATGAATTATGAAAATAATACTTGCTTTCCCCACAGGCTGGGAAATGTAGATGAATTGCAATACCGCTTTGCATTATTGATGAAAAAAACAGCACAAAAAAAGCTGCTCTCTGCTGAAATTACTACAGTTTTGGTTCCCCTTTTTGGGTGTCAGCTCTGGTGTTGCACAGAAAGCATCAGGCAGAGGAATACATTCCACAACATGGCAGTCTGAAGTCTCTCCAGTAGATGGCGCTATTAAGACATAAATTGCTTTTGTGTGCGTCATTTAAAGGGAAGAAACAGCCACGTTTGCAGTCACAGAAGAGACGTGAAATAGTTCTTAAAGCATGTTGAGTTGCTCAGTATTATATTATTTAATATGCAATTTTCATTAAAACATTTATTCAGTCAGTTAAAGTTAAATAAAGCATACATGTCTATAGAGATGAAAGAATAGATGCCTTGAGATGCATCGAGATGCACTGGGAATCATTTTTGGTAATTGTATGTTGGCATCCAGAATCAAAATCATATTGAATTGTGAGGTGCTTTGAGATTCCCACCTCTGTGTAATAGAAAGTTCAGGGTTTGAGCTGCTTTAATGTTGCTAGCTGGGTAAGTCAATGGCAACCTATGCCTAGCTGCTACTGTTAATTATTATTAATTATTGTTATTGTTAGGCATGTTCGTTCCAACACGTTTCTATATTTGAGTATCTGCAAGAGAAGGAAAAGAGCAGTGCAAAAAGGGCTGCTGTCTGCTGAAATTACTACAGAGATTTGGTTCCCCTTTTTAGATGTCAGGGCTGTTGCACAAAAATTTAGCCTCAAGCAGAGGAACACACTTCACAATGTGTTTTATTATTCACAAATAGCTGAGGGAGATCGGTTAACCGCTAACACTGAATGCTGATGGAGACTCGTCGTTGTCTTCAGGATGTGCTGAGATGTTAATTTGTCAGAGAAAACAGTTTTAGCTGTTTCTAAACATCAGTCGAGCCTATTTAGTGATAAATCTGTGCCTTCTCGGTAGGGCTGGGCAATTAATTGAAAAGTAATTGAAACCGACGTTCAGAACCTGTAACCGACGTAATCTTGCCCATGTCGGTTATTTAGATTTTTTTTTTAATTCTGTTAATCCTTTCCCCACTCTGTGTGTCCTGTCCACTTAAAAACATACTACCGCATGTGTAGTCACATGACTACGCCACATCCACTCTGCGACATGAAAGCTAAGGCTGCGTTCACACAGCAGGTAAAAGTGGCACAAATCTGATTTTCTCACCAAATCCAATTTTTGGTTTGTCTGTTCACATTATCTTTTAAATGTGATCTGTATGCGACATCAGTCTGAACAGATCAGCTCCTAAACCGACCCGCATGCGTCAAAAGAACAGTGCTTCACACGGCTCATCCAGAGGTAAACAATCATGACTGCCAACGAACGCCAGTCGCTTCCGGAGGATCAGCTTCGTCTTCACCAGCATCACAGGAGCCATCATGAAGCTTCACTGACTGACAGCTGGGCTCATCACCCAGAATGTGTTTGGAGCTCACTGTAAAAAGGGCGCGGTCACTTCTTTGGTTCGTGTCCTCAGATTCTTTAAACTTTGCTTTTCAGACTCTTAACTGTTGTTTGACGCTGCAGCCTCGTTCTCCTACGGCTGCGTTCGGCCATTTCTTTCGAAATCTCTTCAAACACAGAGGTGTTTTGGATGAGTCTTGTCTAATTTTTGTACAGAAATATCGGCCCTAATGTTTATGAGATCTCAGCAGCGCAAAATTGTGACGAATGTCGAGTTGGATTGACGTCAAAGCTGCGTGAATTCCGATCGATTAACATTAAGATATGCAGAGCATATTTACAGTACAAACCTTGTAAGTGAACTATGAGGGCAAAAAAACAAGCAAACCAAAAAAAATCGTTCATTAATCATAATCGAGGTAAAATATTCAGTTAATCGTGATATTGATTTGAGGTTATACCGCCCAGCACTACTTCTCGGCCACGCCCTCAACAACACGTTCTTGTCTAAACGCACGTTAAGGCACTCGCGTTTCAGAGTAGCGAAGTATACTGAGTTCCCTGAGTTGCTGATATGTTTATTTTCTCTGTTTTCCTGGATGAAGCATAAGGAATACACAAATAGCGATTTCAGTATTCCTCTACTGGCACCTCGAACCGAGAACCTGAGTACCTATGCATGTTCCTAACTGTTATTTTATTTATTTGCTTGTTTGTTTACTTGTTTATTTATTTATTTCACATGAACTAGAGTGCAAAGTAACGTTCTAACATGTGGAAGATA